ACGCGCATGTTTTCGCGCCTTGAGTTTGCATAATAGGCACAGCACTTTCGCAAGGTCAGGCATAGATTTCGTGACTTTTGCAAGGTCAGGTTTTTATAGACTTCATGGCCGGCGCAGCGCTTTCGCAAGGTCAGGTACGGATCTCGTGGCAGGCGAGGTCAGGTAGATAGATGGATAAACTGGCAGATGGCTAGATAATCGAGATTCGAGATGGATGCAAATCTGGAAAGCTTATGGATAAACAGACAGTTGTGATCTTGAGTCTAGTCTATACCAGTAGAGCAGAAGTTTCAAACATGCTTAACTATATACATATATACATATATACATGTATACATGTATACATATATACATATATACATATATACATATATACATATATACATATATACATATATACATATATACATATATACATATATACATATATACATATGTACATATATACATATATACATATATACATATATACATATATACATATATACATATATACATATATACATATATACATATATACATATACAGGGCGCCCGCTGACGGGGCACCCTAATTCTACCTGGCGCTGAAGACGCGTTGCTTGGTGGCTAGCAGGTTTTGCGTGAAGGTTGCACCGTCTTGGGTCAAACCTCTTCTCGACGGCTGAAATGTCCATCGGCTGCCTTGCCATCGCGGCTCTGGGCCACGCTTGACCAAGATGTGAGCGGTTGTTGGACAAGATAGCCGTCGTCCAACATTGCGCGCGAGAAGACCGAGTGAAAGACAGACTGAAAGGAGCAGCCACAGCTCGGAGTCATTCATACACCCGAGGCTGTTCCAGCATGCTCCGCGCGGCGCTCAAACTGCCGCGCGCTTACACGCAGGCTGCCCCCATGATAGATGCCTGATGACCTCTGCCAGCGGGGGGTTGGCAGCAAGTGCAGCAGGGGATGCGCCGGTTGTTTTTATGTCAAATCTCTACGCAGCGCTTGGCGCGCGTGCGCTGCGCGAGTGTCCGCTGCTGTTCCTCGCGCAGCTTGTGTCACTTGTGTGTTAATTGTGTGTGTGTCATTTGCGTGTCACTGCGTGTCACTGGTGCGTCGCAGCGTGTCACTTGTGTGGCACCTGCGTGTCTGTGTCGCTTACATGCCATCGCGTGTCACTCGCGCGTGTCACTGCGTGTCATTTGCGCGTCACTTGCTTGCGCCACCACATGTCCAACCCGGAATGCGTTCCAAAGAGGCAAAAAACCGCCACAGGCTCACAGAATCCACGGTTAGGGGCTGAAACTTTCTATCTATAATTGCGCCCCCCTCAATTCCAGCAATTCCAACATTTTTGGGGACAACACTGCCACTTGGAGATGAGATCGGGAATATTGCATGGTCAAAAACGTTTTGGGTGAGTGCCCACATTTTTTACATGCGGCAGCGCCATCCAAACAATGGCTGCTTCGCACATTCGCCTAGTAGTGAAGCGTCTTCGCCTGGAAATTGTCTTCGTGCAATTCGTCTTTCGCAATTCGTCTTCGCTGCGCTTTTCATCTTCGCAGAATTTGTCTTCGCAATTCTGTTGCAAGGTTACAAACAAGTGGAGTAGCAGTTCTTTGCAGACATCAGGCTTGCAGCGTGCCTATCAGCAAGCCATGAGAGGAGAGTGAACAGGCAGGCTGCAGAATTGGACGACGCGTTGAGCTTGGAGGATACCCTTGTAAACAGCTACAACCCCCGGCAAGCACCGCACCGTGTGCTTCTTGGCCTTCGACGGGCACTGCATGCACAAGGCCGTGAAGCGGGTGCTGGCGCGGCAGGCGACGCGTGCTGTACCAAGGCAAGGCAAGGCAGGCCCTTCCGCCGATCGGCAAGTGGAAGCATCTTCGCTGGGTAACTCGTCTTCGCCTGGTTGTGACTTTGCTGGGAATTTGTCTTCGCAATGTGTCTTCGTCTACGGTGGGATTTTGGGTACCCCCTGAGCGGATCCAATGTGTATATATATATATAAAGATAAACTTCAATGTATCACCTCCTTATTTTCCTGTTTCTCTTATTGCTGTTCATCATCGTAATTGCGTTCCTTTCTTTCTGCTTGTTGTTCATCCTTGTTTGATCTCCAACTCTGTGTATGTCTTCGTTTGTCTTCCTTTTTTGCATCTATCTATCTAGCTATCTACGTTCAATCTAGCTATCTATCTCTCCCTCTCTCTCCATCTTACCTCTCTCTCTCTCTATCCATCCATCTATCTATCTGTCTATCTATCTACCTACCTGCGTAACTCTCTATCTCTCTATCTATCTACTTAGCTGTCCATCTGACAATCAATCATTGTTCCATCCGCTTTCAGATTTCTTTCTGTCTGTGTATGTAAGCTAACCAAACGGCACCCCACAAAGCAAGCGATAACTCTTTTTATCCAAGCATTGTGTTGGTGCCAGGGACTCATCTTCCCCTGTCAGATGTTCACGGCTGGGTGGGCCCCATGGGCAACCCACCACAAACTTTCAAATCCAAAGAAATGTGTGCGCAGACTTATGGCGCCCGCCCTTGGGCCGGGGCCAAGGGCACCCAGGCCCTAAGAGGGTCTTCCACCAGGGGAAGTGAGTCCCCTTAACGGCTCCGGTCACGGGAGCATGGGTGGCCACACTAAGGTCAAAGGCCTCTCCATTCAGGAGACGCGGAAGAAAGGTCGCAGAGTTCCTGTTTGGGCACTCTATTCAACGGAGCAAAACCGGTGAATTCTGGGTGAGTTGTAGGGCTTCTTGGACCCCAGGTTAAGCATTGCCCTGGTTGTTGCTGCCCACCGGGAGCCGAACCCGGGAGGACAAAGGACCTTGATGAGTGAGGATCATGTTGCACAGGAAGAGCGTACCCAGCATTTCCAGCTCCTTTTGGGATCCCCATTCTTGAATGCCCAAGGGTACTCCTCCATGTGAATCTGCCCACAGTATGTGTCAGCACCGCCCCGGCCAAGTTTGCCGCTGCTTTGCTGCGAAGCAGCCACAGGAAGTCGCCCACGAACACGAAGTGCCAGTCCACCTGAGGGTAGACGCTCGAGGGCGATGGAGAGGTCCATCACCACATCCGCCACCGTGGCGGAAGGTGCGGTCGAGGGCTCCTGCAAAACCAGGCCCGCCGCCACGGCTGCCTCACGTGCGCGCATCTCCTGCGCTTCCTGGTTAGCCATCTCCACGTCCTCCGCGGAGAGCTTTTGTTCCTCAACCAGCTCAAAAGAAGACACCTAAGTTGTTGAGGAAGCCATGGCTCAATCTAGAGCTGAAAGGATCAGAGGGCAATCAGCTTTCCAGATCAGAAAAGGGTTCCAGGAACCCCAATCAATGCTTGAGCCAAAATGGCCAATGCCATTATGGTCAAGCATTCCACGCACAATTCATGTTTCCACATGTTCCAACATTAACAAAATATATCTATCTGCATCGATCTATATGCATCTGTCTATGCATCTATCCATCTATCTATCTGTCTATCTATTTATCTATCTATCTGTCTATCTATCTATCTGTCTATCTATCTATCTATCTGTCTATCTATGTATTTATCTATCTATCTATCTATCTATCTATCTATCTATCTATCTATCTATCTAATATACCTACCTATCTACCTACCTATCTATTCATTCAATTGCTTTTTTGTTGTTTTCTATGCCCTTGCCAGGTATGCATCTATCTCCGTAAGCAAGTGCTTGCTAGTCTGTCCTTGAACCTTGAAGCAAACGCCATGCATTGGTAGAGCAAAAACATTGAATGGCCAATTATGCAAAGCTTCTAAGAAAGTAGTCTCAGAGAGGCAGCATTTGGGTCACCCTGAAATGGAACCTTGAGGTGACTGGTCCTACGTTGCTCGGCTTGAAGTGGGTGGTCATTGTTGTCAAAGCAGCACTTGATTAAACCAGGTGCTTCACAGCTCCAAACTCCGATTGCCCCCTCTATGGCGTTGCACGGCCAGCGATCCATGAAAGTTGGCCAGCCAGACAGTCTGGCGCCACCAAAGGTTACTCAACCCTGGGGTGGATTGATTCTTTAAAACCAAATCAAGTGCACTGCCAGAGCTCTGTCACCATTGCTTTGATTGCCCGCGCACCGTTGATGGCCATCCTAAACATGAGCTCAGAGGTCAGCTTCTCTTCATGCAATCCATCCTGAACTCTCAACAACTCACTGCCAGGTTTCTCCACAGTCACATCTTGGATCTTCCGGTCGCCTCAGGAAGGCAAACCAAAACCAGGGTCGGTGGGGCAAGTTTGCAGCAAAGGACAATGCACTGTGCTGCAAAGACGCCATGGTTCTTAAGCAAATCCTGCTTCAGCTTTGTCTTCTCGGCTGCAAGCGCGGCAATCTTTGCCTGCCACAACAAGAGCATAATGCTCAAAAAAGCTGCTCCTCAGGTCTGGCAATTTTTGCTTAGAGTGAGCAAGAAGGCAAGGTCGTGCAAAAAAGAGCACCCACTGGAGAGCAATAATCACCGCCTTCATGTTCTCCAAGATAGGCGATGTAGCTGACGCAGGCTGTGGCGACAAGCCCGCATTGATGTGGCCAGCAATGCCTGGTTCGGAATCCAGGAAGGATGCGAATTACTCGAGTTTCAGACAAGATGTGCTCAGACTTCACGTTTGGTAAGATGCCGCGAGCTTAGGTTGCTTGATGGCTTGAAGCGTTCAAGTCACGAGCCACGCAGCTTCTCGCTGCAGGTTGAAGTCTGACACAAAAGGGACTGCCAAGACAAGCCGAGGCACGCTTGACACGCTCCATAGCAGTATCAAAGCTACGTCACTCCCACAAACAAAAGCGGCAAAAGCTGCGGCGAGCTCGAAGCATGCAAGTCATCCAGGTCATCAGTTGGACAACTTTCAGATCTCTGCATGAAAGGGAAAAGCAAAAGACCTTGTTCCGCTTTGTGAAATTCTAAATGGTGGGCCATGCCTCACTCGGGCGCTAAACCAAGGGTACACATGAGCTTCAAAAGAGCCAGACATCTGCATGAAAAGCGCAAAAAGCATAGAGCACCTGGAAGTCCAGAGACTGGAGCAAGAATTGCAACACCTCCAGCAGCTCCACTGGAATGGCCTGCCCGAGCTTGCCATGACTAGACTGTCCCAGCTGTCCTTGAAAGCCTGAAAACTCACGGAGGTGGGGGCATAAGCCTATTGTCTAGGGCCAGCATCTGAGATTGTATGGCTTGAAGCTCGATCCGCGAAAGCTGCTGAGCAGGCCCCTCCCTGATGTAACAGTAAGGCCCCCCCTGATTGGCAAAGATCACCCTAATCATTGGTAAACTTTCTGGGCTTCTGGCACTTGCTGAGTATGATGTCAGGATCGGGCCAAGGATGCGCCGCCCAAAAGACGTCCGAAGGGTCCTGGTGTCACTGGGTGTTGCGGTTGAGACCCTGCCTGAAACTTGAAAGGCATTGGGGTTGATGCCAGCAATTTGCTTGCAAAGACACAACTCCCTCATAAGTTCTGTCCTGAGCTGCTCTTGAGGTGATACACTTAATGCCGGTGAAGTACGACTCAGCAATGCCTGCAGGAACCAAGCTCACAACAACCAAGCTCACACAACAAGCTCACAACTAAAGACACTATTCTGAATCAGGCGAATTCGGACGCCTCCAGCTTCACCGCGGTTTCCTTTCCACGTTGAGCATCAGCACGAGCCTACAAAGTGATCGCTACATCAGCCATGTTTCATGTTTCGAACCAACGTGGACACTGCAAATATGAGCCTGTACATCTGGCAACATGCCCCTTGCGACCGTTGAAAAAGGGGCAAATCAAGCTCAATACATCACCACCTGCTCCAGCGGCGTCATACCCAGCGGTCCAGATGTCTCCACGCAAGCACCGGTATCGATCAGTTGCTCCACCACCTTGCACAGGAGCCAGAGCTAGCGTGGAACTTTGAAGAAAATGAGCCCTGACTGGATGTGGGGCATCATATCCATCCAGCACAGGGCCATGAGAGCTCTCTTCAAGCAATTGTATGCCTATGTGTGATGCGGCTTCATGCTCATCAAAAAAGTTGCAGCTAAGCGCTGTGCATGCATGAATATCTAGTCAAGCGCCGCTGCTACACATAAATATCTGTGTATGAGCGTGTGGGCGTGTCTGTTTGCTCAGGTCAGGCGGCATGAGCCCACCTTGCAACTGCCTGCCAACGAAGACCAGTACTTGTAAAGTTAGTAACGAACACATTGAGTTACTGTTATAAACTATAAAGCACATAGTTCCAGTCTCAGGGATCTACAGGCTGCTGAAAGTATGCTCGCAAAACACAACTAAACCATCTAATGACTAGAATGTAAACAGTGATACCGTTTGAACGCATCAGAAGCGGATAGCCACAATGAACAGATTGCGTGTTCCCATTAAAGTGTGTTCAGATTCACACGCAAATTTCTCTTGGATCTCTTGGCACACGGCCCGCCTCCACAGGGGCACCCGCCCTGACTGCCAACAGAAGCACGGGATATCCAGAGCCATCAGCGGCTGCAAGGTCAGCACCGCGCTGCAAATGCCTCAGGGCTCACACACGTTACGCGTCGAACTGATTCAGACACCTGCACAGGATCGCGCGGAATTTCGATCAATTCAAAAAACATGAAAACGGAAGCGTTTGGGGAGTTGCCTGTTGTTGTTGGAAAACTTCTGATATTGTCGTTGGACCAGTTTTCGGGTGGCAATCGAATCGTAAAGTCAAGCATGGTCCAACAGCTGGTATTGAGCTAGTCGCGATTCCGCCATCATCAGCAAAATTAAAGTAGCCGCCGCAACCCGTGGTGAGTCATGGTGAGAGGAGGGCCAACACACAGGGAACCTGCCCCTGCCTTGCGATGGCTGACTGATCACAAGCTTCTCCCTGTGCCACCTCACTCTGAGTCCACTCTGAGTGCACTGGTCACCTCCTTGCAACTTGCCTCGGTAAAGAGGCCAATGGTGGCCGTCATAGCATTTCGGGTGCCAGTGGCTGCCTTGAATACATCAGACCTGGGTGGCACCGCCTCATTCTCGACTCAAGGGCTTTTCCAAGCCCCGCACGGCCTTACCCACACCATCTGCCGCCCATCTCGCCAGCAAACATAGTATCCGAAGCC